AAGGCTTAGTGGATAGAGAGACAGCTGATCTTGGAGTTAGGAAGACCTGAGTTCAAAATCCACTTTTGACACAGCTAGACTATGTAACTTTGACCTTTCAATGCCTTAGACAACTTTCTAAGTCTCATAGGGAGAGGAAGTATCCTCACTTAGGATGCTGCTCTGGTGATAAAATTATAGGTCCAGCTTTTAAAAAAAGAAGAAATTACAAACCATAGTGAAGCAGGAATGAAATGTAATACTGATGCCCTTGGATGGAAGCAAAGAAAGAAAAAACCTTAAAAATCAAGCTGATGGTATGTTCCATTTTAAACATCAAAGATGGTGGATAGAGTGTTGGCCCTGCAGTCAGGAGGACCTGAGTTCAAGTCTGGCCTCAGACACATAACACTCACTAGCTGTGTGACCCTGGGCAAGTCACTTAACCTCAATTGCCTCATATAACAAAAAAAAAAAAATCAAAGATGAAATGGAATGTTAATCAGCCACAAAAGCATCAATTAAAGGTCTCAGAATGAAAAGCCATCGAATTTAAAGTTACTGAATTAAAGCATTTGACAACATTTAATGGAGTTATCCTCTGATATTGGAGATGTCTTTCCCAATTCTCCTTAACCTTAGTGCCTTCTCTCTACTCCAATTTATCTTGTCTATATCTTGTTTGTATGTAGTTGTTTGCATGTTGTCTTTGCCACTAGATTGTGAGCTCCTTGAGAGCATGGGCTATTTTTTCTCTTTCTTTGTGTCCCTAGCCGTTGGCAGTGTCTGGCACATAGTAGGCTATAAATAAATGCTAACTGATTGATTAAAAAAAAAAAAGAAATGGAAGGAAATGCTGATTTTCAGTTATAGGTTCATTGAAATAAGATGTATTTTTTTCCATCCAATTTCACACATCATCCTGAAATCTCTCTATAAAGCCCTTGGGGGTCCATGGACCCCAGTTTAAGAACTCCTGCTAAGGGGTCTGCTAAATAGCTCATTGGAGTATAATATCTGCTCAAGCCACCAGATGGCGCTAAAGGCTTGCCTGGCTTGAGTTCATTTCCACTACGTCTACATGAGTTCCTAGGTTCTTAGAAAACTACTGAGTATTTTCAGATCACAGCCCACCCAGTTTCGTCTCCAAGACCCTTATCTAGGGTATGATATGATCCCATCAAAATTAATAAATTCATTTGGTTTGCTTCCATTTCCAAAAGATCTTAATCTTTTCCCAAACTTCACATGATCTGGGAAGATTTACCCATTCATGTATAGATTAAAGTGCATTTTGTTAAAAAAAAAAATTAAAATGTGAAAGGCGTGGGCTAAAAACTCATTGCAATTTGAGTAAGCCACAGCAGCTTATGTCAGTCTGAACTTTCCAATGTCCACCCTTGCTTTCTGCCTCTCTCTATTGTCAGTGAGACATGGGCAACCCAAAAGCCTTTATACCAAGTAGTACTTGGTCTCATGTTCACAATAGATGAGGGCTGACGGAGAGAAGGGCTCATTTTATCACCATCCCATTCTCCTTGTCCCACCATATAGCTGCTGTTCCTCTGGGCATTGCCTCAGACAAACCCAGGCCTGGGAAAGATCTTAATTTAGAAAGGCCAAGGTCATCCATGATATCCCAGGTTACTGCCAGTTGTCTTGACTTTTGTTTTGCCACCAGACTTTGAATACTCTGGAGGAGAGAGGGAAGCTGACAACTTTGTGCAACTCTGCCTCATTTAAATCTAATTCACACAGCAAGTCAAGGAATCACTCTCATGATGTCATTGGTCTTCTTCAAGAAAGAAGGAAGAACAACAAGAACTCTGACACCTGGAACCACACTACTCAGTATCCTAGCCACCTGCTAAGTAATCTACCATTGGCTACTCAACTGGCATGCAGTAGACCTTTCCCCCAGGGATCAGACGCCACTGGGGATTGTTTAGCCCATTTCCTACTCTCTCATGTGTCTTTTGTGGTTAAGATGGTGAGGTAAAGTGGTAGAGGAGGTCAGTATTCTCTCTCTCTCTCTCTCTCTCTCTCACACACACACACATACTTCAGCAGAAAAAATAGTAACAGAAGCAAACTCCTCAACCCAGGCAAGAACTGCATAAAGAGATGACAGAATGGAGGATGGGAAAGATTATATATCAAAGAAGAGAGTTTGAATCCTGGTAAATGGACCAGAATTATAAGTTCTGAAAAAAAAAATTAAAGAAGCAATGCCAGGGAATAGTAGTGACTAAAAAAAAAAAAAAGAAAAGAAAAAGAAAACACTGAATATAGTAAATATCATTTGTTAAGAGAGACCTAAGAGGTAATCCCAGATGAAAAGATGAACTCAACAACTACAAACAGAACTTCAGAGAAAATAATGTCTTGGTCACAAGGACTGCAAGGAAGGCTGTAAGAAACGAAACAAAAGATGAAAAATTAAATTAGAATTGAAATTAGCTCTCTACAGGAAAAAAATTTAGAATAACTTAGAACAAAATCTTACCCAAATGATGGACTCCTTGGGGGAAAAAAGAATAGAACGATTTGAAACTCAATGATTTCATGAGACAAGAAGTATTCAAAGTCAAAAACATTTTAAAAATAGGAGAAAATATATGGTATCTACTATTAAAAACAATGAACTGGAATATAAGCCAAGAAGAGTCAATTTAAGTAAAAAACTTGAATACTATATTTCAAGATATAATTAAATAAAATTGCCCAGATTTATTGAAACTATATGGCAAAGTAAAAATAGAAGGAATCCACTGGATCACCTCCTAAAAGAAACTCTAAACTAAGAATAACAAAAACTATCATAGCCAAATTCCAGAATTTCAAAGTCAAAGAAAAAAATACTATAGCTAGAAAGGAGTTCAATGACTAAGAACCACAGTCAGGATCAAACAAGACTATGTTCTGACTACTTAAAGGGGAGAAAATCTTGGAATATAATATTCTAAAAGGTAAAGGATAAAGGATTATAACCATGAATAAACCTGCCCTTCAAAACTCTGTGTAATCTTAAAGAGGGAATATGAATCTTGAATGGAATAGAAGCCTTTCAAGCATTTTTGTTGAAAATACCATGGTTGAGTAGGAACTTTGAAATGTGAATGGTAATTGAGAAGTAATTAGACAGGGTAAAATGATGATGAAGTCCTTACATTCTAATAGTGTGAGAAGAGATAAGTGTCCCATTAGAATCCAACTTTCAATGGTCACCAAAGGAAATGAGAACCACAAACACAGGAACTAGGTATGTTTTTTGTTTGTTTTTTGTTTTTTTTTGTTTTAAGAAAGGAAAAGAAAAGGGTGGGGAAAGGGAAAGCAGGAAAGAAATGAGGAAGAAGGAAGAAATTCACTATATCTCATAACTGGAGGATAGGAGAAGGGTACACAAAAATACAGGAAGGGGTGAGGCAGTGGGCTTCTCACCATCTTTACTGGCAAAGGAGGCTTAACTATCTACTTAACACATAGTTTAGTGTAGAAATAGTTAAATTCAATTATGGTTGCTCAGTTGTTTTCTGTTGTGTCAGACTCTTCATGATTCCATTTGGGGTTTTCTTGGCAGAGATACTGGAATGGTTTGCCTTTTCCTTCTCCAGCTCATTTTACAGATGAGGAAATTCAGGCAAACAGGGTCACGACAACAACATTTATTAAATTAAAGGTTGGGCAAGAAGCCTGGGCTCACAGCTATTATTCTTTAGGATCAGGTAGAAAGGGTATGATGGCTCACCTGAAAATGTGGTTATTCTTAAGTGGATATTACCTTTTTCAAATGACTCTTTTAAAGTCTGAGAACTAGATTAGTGAATGAATAAGAAACTAAGAAAGGCATGGGATTCCACCAGTGACCATCGATAGACAGACTCTGCTCCCTGCTTTTAACTTAGGAAGTAGCTGGCCTTCAGTACCAGTCTGCTTTGAACACTATTTCTATCAATCGTGCTCTAGTCTTTCTCTTCAACCTAGTTCTAATCCTTTAAAATTTCTGTTTTAATTCCCCTTTACTTTGGTCAATAGACATTTATTCAAACAGCAAGCATTTACTGAGTTTTACAGTATGCAAAGCATTGTGTTAAGCACTGGGCTCTGTCCTAGGTTTTAGAGAGGGACAGGAATATAGGGTGTAATTCAAAGTTTTAATCTGTATTTAATCTCTTCCCAAATCTCTGTTTCTTTGAACTTTTTCCCGACACCTGGAATGCACTCCTTCCACAGAGATGGGATGTAGAATGGCACGTTCTGGGAATAGCAAGTAGAGCCATGTGGTTGAAATGTAGGTAAATGAAGGGGAATTCTCAACTTGGGGACCCTCCCCTTTTACCTCCCTTTTATGGGTTGTCTTTCCTTGTTAAAATGTAAGCTCCTTTAGCGCAGGGACTGGTTTTTTTTTTTGGTTTTTTTTTTTGCGTGTATTTCTATCCCCAGTGCTTAGCACAGTCCCTGGCACCTAGTAATTTCAACCCCCCTCATTTGACAGATGAGGAAACTGAGGCATGGGCAGGTTAAGTGATTTACATGTGATCTTTGCATCCCCAGAGCTTAGCACACCTGGCACACAGGAAGCGCTTAATAAATGTCTTTTGAATGACTGAGTGGCCTCCCTCTACTTGGAGAAGAATGGAAGCAAACAGCCAGCGGTCCGTCTTGGACACTGGCCAGCCACTAATCCTCGCCTAGGATTCAGAGCTAGAAGGGCTCTCAGAGGTCATCTCATCCAGTCCAGCTCCTCATTTAGCAGAAGAGGAAACTGAGGCTCTGAGAAGCGATCTGACCAAGTGCATGGTCAGTCTTTCATAGGAAGAGGCCTGGATACCAAAGGAGGGGCAGGAGAGCACTAGCCGAGGTTCTCCCTACACCAGAGAGATGATTTCACGAAAAGGCTTTCCCTCTGTACCTCTCCCCAAGACAGAGTTTAAAAAAAAAAAAAACTACAACTCCCACAGTGTCCCGCGGCGGGCCCAGGCTGCGCACGCGCGACCAGGAGAGCTCCTCCCCTTGCGGAGAGCTGCGAGGCAGCCGAGCCTAGCTGTGCTGCCTCCTGTGGCCGCACTCCCGGCCCCGGGGCTAAGTCGTAGTCCCGCAGCGGGTCGTAGGATGGCGTTGAAGCGGATCCAGAAGGTAAGCCTCCCGCCTTCTCTCGTCCTCTGCGTGAGTCCGGGGCAGAGGAGCCGCGGGCATCGGCTCCACCACCACACGGGGAGCCGCGGCAGGAGGCGGCGCCGCGCGCAGGCGCGGAAAAACTTGTGACACCTGCCAGATAGTGAGGCGGTGCCTCGCGCGCCCGCTGCCTTACAAGGGAACAGCGCGGCGCGGGGTCGCGGGGGCAAGAGGGGGCGGGGCCTGGGCGGAGCTAGTGGCGCCGCTGGCCAACCACGTGCTCCTTTGCGTGTTTCCCTTTCTCCTGGTTGGGTGTTGCCTTGGAGGGGCGTGTCCTATTCTCACTTTTCCCCTTGTTCTTGCACCGCCCCCTCTGTCCCGTAACATCCCAGGAAAACAAGCAGTCATCCAGCTCAGGCTCCTTGCCCCAGTGCCAGGCACACAGGAGGTGCTTAATTAATGCTTGTAAACCTACCCCCTTACCTTATGGCCAACAAGATCATAGATCCAGAGCTGAAAAGGACCTTAGGATTCCAATAATTAGATTAATTTTGAAGATGAAGAAACAGCGTAGATTTAGATATGGAAAGGACCTTAGAGCCTAATTCAGGCATACGTGAGGTGGGGAAACTGAGGCCCAGAAGTTAAGTGACTTTCCCAGACTCACCCAGCCAGAGAGTGGCGGAGCTCAGGTCCCGGGACTCTCGTTCTTTTCACTGAACCACATCGCCTCCCTCAGCGTCATGGGAGCATAGATTTAGAGCTGGGAAGGAAGGACCTTGGAGGTTATCTAGTCCCATTCCGGTGTCTATCAGACAGGGAAACTGAGGCTTAGAGCCCAGGGCATGCTGCCTGCTGTTTGCAGCTTCCTTTTGGATAGATTTAAGCCCAATCTTCTTTCCTGGAATCTGCTGGACTTTCACCACCCACACTGCCTGAAAAATTATTTAGACTAAATTTCTGCCCTTAGAATTCTATTCTCCCCACGTGCTCACAACTTCAGGGGTGCTTTCACTTTTTTGTTTTCGTTAGTGGCTTTAGGGAAGTTTCTCTGCTCTCCCAACTGTAGCTGTAACAGCCCTTGGTAAATAGTTAATCGTCTTCTAGGACCATTGGTAGCATTTAGAGCTGGTCTGAAATTACTTCCCATTTACACTGTATGTATACATGCAAGTTGTTTATGTTTACAGTGTTATGTATACAACCGTATACAGTTGTTTTGGAGTTGTCTCCCGTATTAGAAGATGAGCTACTTTTTGTTTCTCTTTTATGAGCAATGTGCCAGGGCACATTATTAAAGTACTTAACAAATGCTTGTTGACTGACTGGGAGGTTGTCTTAGTGATCATGTAATGCCTTCTTGTGCAGTTTCTCATAGTTTCTTTGGGATGCTTTTGACAGATACCTTTTTCTCTCTCTTTTTTTTTTTTTGCTAAGCAATGGGGTTAAGTGACTTGTCCAGGGTCACACAGCTAGTAAGTGTCAAGTGTCTGAGGCTGGATTTGAACTCAGGTCCTCCTGACTCCAGGGCCAGTGCTCTATCTACTGCACCACCTAGCTGGCCTCAGCAGATACCTTTGACCATACCTATTTTACCCATAAATTTCAAGTCATTTTGTGCCATTATTTCTTCCCTAAGGTCCGCTTGTTAAATTAACCTTGATGAGTTTGTCTTGTTTCCATTTCAAACTGGGTGTGCAATCCAACTTTCTGCTTGGTTCCCACTGTTTTCATGGTGATCTACCCCATAGGTCTTCCAGTGGGTTACCTCAGCCCGCTGGTTCTATTTTGTCCCCAGATATCCGTGTTTCTGTGTGTATGTGTTCATGCACTTAAATGTATATCTGTATCTTTGTATATTCTGTGTGTTTACTTACTGATGTCCTTGTTGTGCCACCTCATAGTTGTGAATGTCTTTTTTTTTTTTTTGCTTGTACTAAGAAGGTCATTGAGGCCAACCCTCTTATCTTACAGATGAGGGAACCGAGGTCAAGTAATTTGCACAAAGTCACACGCAGGTCCTCTGACTCCAAACCTGGTGCCCTTCCTACTGTTCCAGGCATGTGTATTCAAGTACATACATATATACATACATATAGGGTTGTATATATGTGTATGTGTGCATGAGAGTATATACACAAAACATTCATAGGTTGGTCCCAGTTCTGTAGCATGAAAGCAGATGTTTTCTTATAGAATGTGCTCATACCATAATTATCCAGAGTAACTTTTCTCAGGGTAACTTGTGGAGAAAATAGTTATGTATAGTAATACAAAGATTTACAATTGCTTTACTAAGTCACATTCCCTCCTCACAATACACGTTTATGTAATTGCAATCTTGACTCCTTTACAAACGCAAGCCCATGGATGTGACAACATATATATTCCCATGAGAAACCGATTTACTTAAATTGGCGTCAGTGTGGGCACATCCATAGAACCAGGCCTAGGCTGCCACCAGGTCCAGTAAAAGAATCATGGAATTTGAGAGTTGGAAGGTAAATCAGTGGCCCAATAATGCAGCCCCTACATGAAAGGAAATCCATTACAAGTGGTCATCTGGCTTCTGCTTGAGGACCTCCCAGGATGGGGAGAAACTACCCCACTGCCTCTGCTGGCAGCCCCCTGCCTTGCCCTGCTGGACAGCTCTCATGGTCAGGAAGCTTTCTCTAAAATTCAGTGTAGATTGACCTCTTTGCATCTTCTACCCACAGCTGCTGCTGTGTGTCTGTCCTCTTGGGCCAAGTGGAACAAGTCTAATTCTTCTTGTATAAGACAGCTTTTTGAACACTTGAAGACAGACAGATAGATAGACAGATAAAAGACAGATGCATAGATACAGAGAGACAGGCAGGCATAGATATATAGATTTTATATATACATCTCTACATGCAAGACAGATATTAGATAGACGTAGATGATAGTTAGAAGGAATTTTTTTTGGAGGCAGTGGGGTTAAGTGATTTGCCCAGGATCACACAGTGAACTCAGGTCCTCCTGACTGCAGTGCTCTCTCTACCACACTACCTAGCTGCCCCTAGACCGTTTATTAAGTGCTTCTTTTGTGCCAAGCACTGGGTATACAAATATAAGTAATCCAGGCAACCCTTGCCCTCGGGGAGTTTTAAGTTTTGTAGTTGAAGATCACATCTTTCAGTGGCATGGTTTGGAGCTGGTGACCCAGGAGTGAGGGGAGGCTTCTTCCGGGCAAGATTGGGTGAAAGCTCCCGGAGCCCAAGATGGGGACAGCTGGGGTGACAGCTGCCGTGGAAGTGACATGGTTTGGAGCTCACATGGCTCCTGTTCCCCTTGAGTCGTCTTTTCTCCAAGCTTAGTGTGCCCATTTCCTTCAAAGGCTCCCTGTGTGACATGGATTCAAGGCTCTTTGCCATCGTGGCACTTTGTTAACCAGGGGAGGCTGCAGAGTGTAGTAGAAAGAGCATGAGATTTGGAGTCAAAAGTCCTTCCGCATATACTCTGGATGTGACCTTGGCCAAGTTATACCGCCCCTCTGGCCCTGGGTTATATCATCAGTCACATGACGGGGACTGGATGGTCTGTAAGGTGCTTTCCAGCTCTCATTCGAGGCCCTTCTGACCCTGTGTCCTGGACGTGTTGTCTCGGTGGCCCCATAGCTGAGTGGAGGAGGAGTCTTACTTATTCTTCCTGATGCGATTCCTGGGAACGAGCCATGACTATTTCTGGGACTGCAGTAGGGGCACCCTTGTGGTGATCCCTTTTGTTGATGCCCAGTGGTGACGCATCATAGCTTCTGTGTGCAGAATGATTCGTTTTCAGATTGACGTTGGCAGGGGCCTAATTGATTGGCTGATGTATTCAGGTACATAGCATTCCTCTGTTCAGCTAGATGATCTAAACATCCCATCCCTGCTCAGTACATATATTTTCCTTGCATTGTTTTGGGTTGTAAGTGCCCTGAATCACCTCGTCTCAAAAATAGTCCTTGCTATACTTTAGCCACACTTTATGAGGTTCTCTTCAAGTCATCAGAAGAAAGTTGTCATATACATTTTCCTAAACCTAAAGTCGCCATTTTTTCCAAAGATCAGACCTGGTACCTATTTTGCTCAAGCCTGGCATTCCAAGATACAGAGATCAAAGGAGCCAGCTCTGTTCCGTTGTTTCTTTGTCTGAGGGTTACAGAGATTTAACAGGGTTGCCAAGGCTGCGAAGCAGTTGTCTGGTGGACAGCTTGTCATGATGTGACGGATTGAGCCATGTTTTTAAACACTGTACAAGTCCTGCTAGTAAAGTGCTAGTAAAGTAGTCATTTTGCTCTAATCACTGGTGGTGATTAGTCCTGCCCCATTCCACTTTTGGCCAGTTCCTTTTGTAACCAAGAGTAAATATTTTTCAGATGGCTGGCCAGGGTCGGGGAGATGGTCTCTGAATGAACTGGTCCTATCCATTGCTTGGCACTTCTTAGTTCCTGGGGCAGTCTGGGATGATGTCCAATTGGCCTCACCCCTGTTTTGAGATTGAGAAGTGGAAGTGTTTTGATTATGGGAATTTCATCAGCCAATATGATATCCCACCGAAGTACCAGCCCAGTCTTCCATCTTGGTACAGAGGTGATCCTGAGCTTGGAGAAGTTATGCAAGTGGAGTATGGATAGCCTGGGAAGACTCACAGTACTTTATTAGGGCTGGGCTTGATACGTGTCTTTCAGAGACTGGCCTCATTGCTAGAGGCTGAGCAAAAAGTGACTTTTTTTTTCTCATAGCAGCTCAGAAGTGGGTACCACTGTCTACTCCTGGTGCTATTTGCCTCAGCAGAAGAAGTGCCCACAATTATGAAATCATAGATCCTTAAAGTATTGAAGTGTTGGTCTAATTACACATTGTTACACACCCATTAAGCCAGAGGCCCCATTGCTACTGTCATGCCTACCTGATAAAGAAATTAGTAATACATGTAAATGCAGGCAGAAATACATCATGAAAAATTTATCCCAAGAAAGTGCATACAAGGCAGTAGGGAGTCTGTGTCTCACCTGG